AACTATCCCTGCTATTTACTATTTGCTCTGCATTGAGCAGTCTCTGTCTCTCTCTGGATCTGCACGTGCTTCCTATTATCTACCAAGTATCTTTAGCGTCATTTCCCAAAATGGAAATGATCCCATGATAACATAAATTTGGTAAATAATGTCAGGCAGTTAAACCAGTGTCCTTAATGTAGAATTCTCAGAGCCAATTCTTAGTATGCCAATATTCTGAAACTCAAGTAGGAATTGTAGTATGCAGAGTTTTCCAAATTTAGCATCAAAAATCTTTTATGGAGAGTGTCTCATGGGAATGAGATTCTACAGAATATGCATAAAGAAACACTTGGCCTACAAAATAAAGACAAGGGTTTTGGGGGGGTTTTTGTCTGATATTTATGCTCTTAATTTGTTCCTAAATCTACAAGTTTTGGAGGTAAATTCTGTGCCATATTTTAACTATAAGATTCCATGACAGAATCTACAGAGACTATTTTTAAACTTTAGGAAGGGAAGGACAGTGAATTTAAAGCTACTAATATTTGTCTCTACAGAGTAAGGTCTCTTATAAAAACTTTGTAGAGTCATATAATGTTTCACCTGGAGAGAACTTTGAATAGGGCACCAGGGCCCAGAAGATGTAAATGATTTGCTATATTAATTGTAGCTAGGCTGGGACTTAGCTTCCAAATGTCCACTTTTGGGTGGTGCCTGTAGCTCACTGGGTAGGGTACTGGCCACATGCACCAGGGCTAGTGGGTTCAAACCCAGCCCGACCTGCTAAAACAACAACAACGACGACAACAACAAAAATAGCCGGGCGTTGTGGTGGGTGCCTGTAGTCCCAGCTACTTGGGAGGTTGAAGCAAGAGAATTGCTTGAGCTCAGAAGTTTGAGGTTGCTGTGAGCTGTGACATCACGGCACTACACCGAGGGCAACAAAGTGAGACTCTGTCTCAATTAAAAAAAAAAAGTCTACTTTTGTAGCCAGGCGTTGTGGCACGTACCTAAAGTTCTACCTAGTCAGGAGGCTAAGGCAGGAGGATCACTTGAACCAGGAGGTTGAGGTTGCTGTGAGCTAGCTGATGCCATGGCATTGTAGCCTGGGCAACAAAGTGAGAGTCTGTCTCAAAAACAAACAAAACCCACAGTTTTGTTAAAATTAATTGCAGGAGTTGTCACAACCAGACCAGCATATGATTCATAGAGTATTGTGCATGTAGATGGAAAACTTCAATTAGTTTTTTGTTTTGTTTTGTTTTTGAGACGGTCTCACTCTGTGCCATGGGTAGAATACCATGGCATCATAGCTTACAGAAACCTCAAATTCTTAGGCTCAGGAGCTCCTCTTGTCTCAGTCTTCCGACTAGCTGGGACTACAAGTGCCTACCATAATACCCAGCTAGTGTTTCTGTTTTTATTAAAGATGGGTTTTGCTCTTGCTCAGGCTGGTCTTCAACTCCAGAGCTTAAGTGAGCCATGAGCCTTAGCCTCCCATAGTGTTAGAATAACAGGCATTAGCCACTGTGCCCAACCCGATTAGTTGTTTTTTTTTTTTTTCAAGGAATTTAACTTTAGTGTTAGTTGGAGATGATCTCCATGGAAGGATTTGTGTTGGAGTGTTCCGGTTTGCTGTTGCTAAAATTATTTTTCTAAAGTATTGCTCCAGTCATGTAACTTAACAACATTGATGGTTGTTTACTAGTGCATATTATCTGGTCCAACAAATGTGTTTTTTTCTTCTAAATTCCTGTGTGACCTCAAGTAAATTCATAATTATTCTCAGTTTTTTCTTTTTCTTTTTTTTTTTTAAACTTTACTATTATTTTTTTTTATTGTTGCAGTTTGGCTGGGGCTGGGTTTGAACTCACCACCCTCAGTATATGGGGCTGACACCCTACTCACTGAGCCACAGGCATCACCCTTATTTCCAGTTTTTTCAACCAGAAAATGTGTCATTTGTAGTAATATGATTTTCTGTAACCTCCAAGATACTGTGCGTGCTGTCCATGGAATTTATTTATATATTTATTTTGAGGTAGAGTCTCTTGTCACTCTGGGTAGAGTGCCATGGCATCATAGCTCACGGCAACCTCAAACTCTTGGACTCAAGAGCTCCTTAGGCCTTAGGCTCCCAAGTAGCTGGGACTACAGGCATCTGCCATGACACTCAACTAGTTTTTCTATTTTTAGTAGAGATAGAGTCTCACTCTTGTGTTCAGGATAGTCTCAAACCCCTGAGCTGAATGAATCCACCTGCTTTGGTCTCCCAGAGTGCTAGGATTACAGGCATGAGCCACTGCACTGGGCCATGGAATTTATTTCTTAATGTGGATACGTGAGGGCGGCACCTGTGGCTCAGTAGGTAGGGCGCCAGCCCCGTATACCACAGGTGGTGGGTTCAAACCTGGCCCCGGCCAGACTGCAACAACAACAACAAAATAGCCAGATGTTGTGGCAGGCACCTGTGGTCCCAGCTACTCTGGAGGCTGAGGCAGGAGAATGGCTTAAGCCCAGGAGTTGGAGGTTGTTGTGAGCTGTGTGATGCCATAGCACTCTACTGAGGGCAATAAAGTGAGACTCTGTCTCTTAAAAATAAATAAATATTGTGGATAACTGAATGTCTTCACCTCTTATTAGAACTGACCTAATAAGCCCCACCCAGGCCAGTGAGGTGGCTCACGCCTATAATCCTAGCATTCTGGGAGGCCGAGGCAGGTGGATTGCCTGAGCTCACAGGTTCAAGACCAGCCTGAGCCAGAGCATGACCTCATCTCTAAAAATAGCCAGGCCTTCTGGCAGATGTCTATAGTCTAGGGTGACCAGATTTTAACATCTGTAAGGCGGGTCAACATGGGGGGGGCGGAGCTGGGACGTGGGGCAGGGGACTGGCAGGACAGGGCCTGACGAGGCAAACTTTGATAAGCAGTTCTCAATAATCACTTCTCCTCAATTATTTATTACAGTTTAACATTATAAAATTAACAAAAATAATATAAAACTCATATTCTGGCGAAATAGCCATATGGCAGCCGAAAACCGTATATTCCCTTCTTGTTCTCCAGCTTGTTGGTGCATTCTTTCCAAAAATCGGGACTTTTTTAAAACACCGCAGGATGCGGGACAAATTGTTGAAAAGCGGGACTGTCCCGCCAAAATCGGGACGTCTGGTCACCCTACTATAGTCCCAGCCACTTGGCAGGCTGAGGCAAGAAAATCACTTGCCCAGGAGTTTGAAGTTGCTGTGAGCTATGATGCCATGGCATTCTATGAAGGCGGCAAAGTCAGACTCTGTTTCAAAAAAAAAA